TTGTTGTACTGTGTTTGATTTGATTGTGTGATTTTAAGCTCATTTTAGCCTGGGCTGTCTAGATAGATTTAGATTTTATCTATTTTTATGGATATTTGTTTTTGTTTTCTATGCTGTCCTATAATAAGGGAGTCCTATAATAAAGGAGGCTATTATACATTTGGACAAACAATTATCATCATCATCATCATCATCATCATCATCATCATCATCATCATCANTGTTGGCTCAGAAACTCTGGCATTTGAAGCACGCAAGTCTTAAAGCTGTCAAGTTACAAGACCCTTGCACCCCTAACCCTTTAGAAAAAAAACCTGGGGTGTTCAAACTTGACAGCTTTAAGATTGGTGGACTTCAACTCCCAGAATTCCTCCTCTCGCTCTTCATCTTGATGATGTGTGGACAGGCGGGAGGAGGGAGCTGGAACTGGTTCTAAACGACACTGTAGATTTGTGGAACCTCTTTTATAGAAGAGGTTAGAACTGGCAGGAACCCACCCCTGTTGCAAACAAACCCTGGATCCTAATTCAGGATTTCTCCCTCTCCCTTTCCCTCTTTCCCTCTCCCGCTCTCGCTCTCTTTCTCTTTCTGCCTGTTGATAGAGAAACATTTCCTCATTACTTAAAAATCAATGATGTTACAAACAAACCCCGGATCCTAATTCAGGATTTCTCCCTCTCCCTCCCTCTTTCTCTTTCTGCAAGTTGCTAGAAAAACACATATACAGCATGCTCGTATATAGAATTTCCAGGTACAACAGAATAGCCTGAAGTGCACTTATGTGTTTTTAGTTACATGTTTGGTCTTTTCACGAATTGGCTTCTGTCTTCAGTTTCTTTCTGCCTTCAAAATATTTGCTTCCCATTTTTCCAAAGAGCCATTAAGGCATCTTTACACATTCCAAAGTGTAGCTGTAAAATATGGAAATTTATAGCGTTTCCAGTCTCTACTCCATCTATCATCCTCTTAGAAGGCATCTCTCAGAAAGAGAAGCAATATCCTAAGGAAACTAATGAAACCTCTGTGGCTGGATAATTGCATTCTTGGAGAATACAAGTGTTTGGAAGAGATGCCATAAGCAGCAACAATTCACAAAATTGCTCTCAAAATTGTCCTCTCTGAGTGTAAATAAATTATAGATCATTAAGAGCAATAAGATGGAAATCTATTTTGCTGTCGTTAAAACCAATTTGCACGTTTTTTTGAAAGTCTCAAGACAGTACGGTTGTTAATTAAAAAATATATTTAAAAAGAATCCAGCAAGGGGAAACATGTCATAACAAAAATTTATGCACTCAGAGACATCTTGCAGCAATTATCACTCTTCTTATTTTTTTTTTAAAGATAATATGCTTCTCTAATAGCTGCTAGAGTGGAAACAGATTTGAAGAAAGAGACAAAATAGAAACGGTGTAAATTGCATAAATAAATTAGGGGTTTGTAATGTAAATAATTAACTGCTGTATGTGTGGCAGGACAAATAGCTAGGACTATAGGAAAGAGGGATTTTATATTTCATTCTGCTAGTGGAATAAAAACATCTCTTAATTTTCTGTTTTCACTGACCTGTACAGAACATTTCCCTCTTCTCAATGGTTCCACTAAAATAATTTTATTTCAATGACAGAAAAAAAGGGGGGGATGGATTAAATCTTCTCTAGTGCACTCCTCTTATAAACAGACACTTATGGATGTCATATAATTGAAAATTAAGTATTGCCTTGTATGAGCAAGCATGTGGAACAGAAAACATGATTTCCAAGCTAAACACTCTTCAAGAATGTAATCTCATTTCCTTTTAAATTCCTAAGCAGCAAAGGGACAATAAAGTATTCTATTCTGTTCTNGCACCCACAATTGCTCGCGCGGCCGCATTCTGGACAAGCTGAAGTCTCCGAATGCTCTTCAAGGGCTGCCCCATGTAGAGCACATTGCAATAGTGTGATCTGTACTTGGAAACTTATATGAAGATCAACAACGTTTTTTTTTTACTTTTAAATGTTGAAGCAGGTACATCACTGTCCATGCATGACCATGCCAAAGGTGCTTTTTCAGGAAGCAACTGGACTTCCTTGTTTTTTCTTCAAAGATGTTTCGCTTCTCATCCAACAAGCTTCTTTAGCTCTGATAGGATAGTGGGGGATGAAAGGGTTTATATTCCTAGCAGACAGCTGGTCATTTGCATCCTTTTAGAGGGTTGTTGAAGCACTTGGAGGTTTATCTGTGTCCTCAGAGTCACCTGAGTGATGCTCCTGGTTCCTGTAATCTGCATTTTTTCCTCTGGAAATCGATTCCTACTCCCACACCATTCAAAGGATGTTCATCTCAAATTGTATAGCTAAAAAGTCTGTACTACAGACTTTCAGTTCTCTGCAACCGGGCAGAGAACCCCTTGCTAAAAATTTTTGAAGCCCATCCCTTCTGTACACCCCTTGTGTATATGTCTTTGGATGGAGGTGGAAAGCATATGCTCTGAGGCTAAAAGATCCTCACCATTTTTCCCAGTGGTAAAAATGACTGATAGGTCATATAGATGACAACATCTATAACATAGGATGATTTTAATTGCTCCCATTCAGCTGAGTTTTGTGCATTGATCCTCCCATCCAGCTGCCAGGACAGAACAGATGAAGTCTTGAAGTTCAGATGAAGTTGTAGGTTGGACTATAAGACCTCCAAGGTCCCTTCCAACTCCACCTATTTTATTTTCCTAGATGGGGCCAGGAAATACAGGGCTCCTCTAGGCACTTCAGCTCCGTGTTCTTAATTTTTGTTCTCCCAAAAGCAACCGGGAATCAGAAAAAGAAAGAACGTAATAGATGGACAGATCCTCCTGACACCATCCCAAGTTCAATCTAGCTGCCAAAAATTTTGAAACCTTGAAAGAAAAAAAGAAATTGTAGGAAATGCCATCTTATTTTGGGATCGTGGCCATAACCAGTGTGAGTCAGTGATTAAGCATTCTCAGGAGACAGGATTAAGAAGCACACTGACTTGGTGAGACATGTCATACAAAGAGAACAGGAAAATGTGTTTGTATGTGATGGTGGCATAAATGTACTGATATACCCCATTTTTAATAATGCAACTGTAGAGGAGCCTTCCTTTCTGGATCTCTATTTTTAGTTTCTACCTATACTTGCTACACTGAACTTAATAGGAGACTACTATTGTCTCCGAATGTTTCCTTCGCTATAAAATAAGGTTTCCTTTTCATACTTTTCTCAGAGCACTTTAGGAGTTTGACATTATTTTTTAAGTTCACTGCATTGCTGCAAGTTGGCAGAAAATATTTGTGTTTCTTTTACTGTAATACCACAAATCTCTTTTTTCATTCTGCAGGCTCTCTGGCTGCTCCTACTTCTAGTTCTAAAAAACTCTTTTGGTGCCTTTGCTGAACAAAGTTGGGAAGCAGAAAAGTTACAGAACTCTGAGAGATAACCATCTAACAAAAGATAGCATTTTGTCGTTGTTGTCTTGTCTTGCCATAACTATGGACATTTCAGAAATGGGGTCCTTTGGATTGGAGAAGGATGTATTCTCTATGAAACCACACAAGAATTATAATAGAAAGTGAAACAAAAGAATGTGACACTAATAAATCCAGACATTGTTGAGGTATCAATTTATGTAGTTCAGCACATGCTTAACATCTGAATCTTTATAAGGTATTAAACATGCAGGATCCAATTTGGGTTGGTCACCTGGGGCAGATGTTTTGTGCCTGCTCATCCGACAATCTTAGATTGTTGTGCCTGCTCGTCTAAGATTGTTAGACGAGCAGGCACAAAAACAGCCAGAGAAGGGATTGAAGCCTGGGAAATGGGCTCTTATTAGGAGGGCTGAATTTACCACTATCTTATCAAGAACTTGGGAGGCGAGGGCTTGGCAGCACAAGGAAGCAACAGCCAATGACTTAACAGCCAGCCATCAACACCTCAATCAACAGCTAAAAAGGAATACATAACAAGCATCCTATAAATATCACACATAGAATAGCCCAAAGCATACACTCTGCTAGAGAGAGGTTCTCTGAGGAATGGGCTTCAGTATGAGTCTGGAAGCTTGGAATACTAAACCTCTGGTTCTGTTATCCTTCATTCGTGCTATTAAACATATCTAAGTCAGGGATAGGTTCCTGAACCAGTTAGTACCAGTTTGCTGCACGCACGCTGCCTGTTTCCCGCTCCTGCTCCCACTCTTGCGCCCCTCTCTTTCTCTTTCTCTTTCTTTTTCTGCCTGTTGACAGGGAAACATTTTCCCAATACTTAAAAATAACCAATTTCATTGTATTTATTTTGTACAATGACAATAAAGGCTATATATAAAAATGAGGTTGCAAACCAGTAGTGGGTTTCAAATTTTTTTAGAACTTCTTCTGTAGGTGTGACCTGCTTTGTGGGAGTGGCTTGCCAGCCATGTGATTGGGTGGGAGTCGCTTGCCGGCCATGTGACTGAGTGGGCATGGCCAACTTGTAAAATGTGGTGAAACTCACTTAACAANCCCCCCTTCTTCTACCCTTCCCTTTTTCCTATTCCTCTCCTTTCTCCTCTCCATCTTGTCTTTCCTACTCCATCTGTGTTTTTAATGTATGCCTCATGAGAAGTTGAGGCAGGAGCTCCGTCCTCTGCAACGACATCTATATAGGATATGGTAGAAGGTTATATGAACAAATTTCAACTGAGCCACTTCCAACAAGCTTCTCTCTCAGTAGTGACATTTAGAAGAGATCTGAGACAGGGGAGGAGTGGGGGAAAGTCCTTGGGAGACTCCTATCTACTGTCTGCCTATTGCTGTTTCTATTCACTGAGCAAAATGGATTGGTTTAACCTTATTTCAAAAATGCTAACTCCGGTTCAGAAGCTTTTACGAGACACAGACTTTAATTATCCTTTTGATAGCTGGGGTATCAAAGTCTTTACTGATCCACCATCAAGATCACGGCTGAAAATTATGAGCCCACAGAGTTGCCATCAATATAACATTCAGCCAACCTTACCTGGTGAGTGAAGTGGAGGAGAGCATATTAGCACCACACCTTGACCTTCCCTCACGGACACGGCACTTCGTGTTCGTCCGCTGAAATTCCCCAGATCTGTTAACATAAGATTGCATTTTTGATTTGCAAGGAGAACGTTTTCAATATTAAGTGTCCATACAGAGTTATTTTCCATTCTTCCTTTTTTCTTATGCTAAAAAAACAAAAACAAAACATCCCTTTTGCCATGCCCCAAAGACAACAAAACATCCCTTTCTTCTGAATTCAATGTATTCTGGCTAATTGCAACTAGTAAATAGAGATGTTCCATGTGACATTTTTATTATTTCTTAGGGGATGCAGAAACGTGTCAGCCAAAAGCCAATGAGTGATATGACGCTTTATAACAGGTATCTAATAGCTCTTTTACAATTTCTCACTTATTGATTTCTTCCCTAATAAAAAGTCATTCTGTGTACAATTGAAAGAGATACAGAGGGAGGTGAGGAAGCTTTGCGTCTTACCTGTATTCTGGCTAAAGCTCTTGGGTGTTATAAAAAGGATACTGCAACTTAACTAATAAACCATACAAATGTCTGGAATACTGGCTTTTTTAAATACTTTTTTTAAAAAAAGAATTATGTTTTAATTCTCGCATAGCCTTACAGCACATTTATTGTTTTTTATTGTCTTGTTGTTCTGCCAATGGAGCAACTTTTTTTCTTTTTAATTGAGAAAAAAGCTTTCAATGTTATTGTTTGTACAGATTTCCTTTCCTTTTGTGCTAAACAGCACTTAAAAAAAAGAAATATAAAAACAAACAAAAAATCACTCCTTACAAAATAAATGATTTCTGGCTAATTTCAATTGGAAAACAACTGCAAAGTAGAAAAGTACATTTCATTCATGTAATTATATGTTTACACAGGATTTAAAATATGCAAATTGTTTCTTATGTTTGTCTCCCATACAGTCTTTTGAGCCATGTTACTAGTTATTTTCTCGACAAAATAGGACTTTTTTCCCTGTTTCTAAAACGAAGTGTAATACATTCTTGAAGTGGTATACAGTATATACGTACACACACACACACACACACACACACACACACACACACACACACACACAAATACAGAC